TATCTATATGTCTATGTCTATGCCTATGCCTATGCCTATGCCTATGCCTATGCCTATGCCTATGCCTATGCCTATGCCTATGCCTATGTCTATGTCTATGCCTATGCCTATGCCTATGCCTATGCCTATGCCTATGCCTATGCCTATGCCTATGCCTATGCCTATGCCTATGCCTATGTCTATGTCTATCTATATCTATATTTTATCCTCACCCGAGGACATTTTTCCATTTTTTGTAGGGAGGGAGAGAGAAGAAGAGAGAGAGAGAGAAACATCGATGTGAAAGGGTCACATCAAGTGGCTGCTCCCACATGACCCAACCAGGGCCGGGGACAAACTGCAACTGAGGTACGTGCCCTTAGTGGGAACCAAACCTGGGTCTCTTTGGACCGCAGGCCGACACCAACCGCTGAGCCAAACCGGGCAGGGCTCACTGGATTGAATTTAAGAAAGTTCCTTGAGCCAAGAATGAAAGAATACCCCCTCACTGGTCACTGGTCAGCAAATGCATTTTGTAAGAGTGGGTAGACTTCCAAACTCTGTTTGTTCTTTCTTTCTTTCTTTCTTTCTTTCTTTCTTTCTTTCTTTCTTTCTTTCTTTCTTTCTTTCTTTCGAGTCAGTTAAAATTCTAGACCCTTCTTTCAATAGAGTCACCATAGGCATCTCCTTTATTCAACCAAAGTGTCTGGAGCTGACACCTGGATTCAGACATAAAAATAAATTATGGTGCTGCCCCCTCCCTCCCCCAGCCTCAGTCTAGACCAAGGTCACTCCAGGGAAGTGTGTCCTGAGACCTTTGCCCATGTTCCCTTCCACCTCCCTGCAGCCTAGTCCCATCTCCTTCCCTCCTATGAGCCAAATGGAGGGGTTGGTATCCCCTGACACTTCTGACTTGCATTGTGATTGGGGATACGGCCTTCCCCCAAATCATGCATTCTTAATAGGGGCAATATTACACCATAAAGAATCTAACAATCTTAGATATTCCAGTGATTTCTGACCCTCCAAAGGACCAGAGTATACAGATATACAGTACATCTGTGTAACAAAGAAGTCAAATGTTCTCTATTTGCAGGTGATATGATTGGTATGTAGAAAATCCTAGCCCAGCTGGCGTGGCTCAGTGGATTGAGCGTTGTCCCATGCACCAAGAGGTCACCAGTTCTATTCCCAGTTGGGGTACTTGCCTGGGTTGTGGGCTTGATCCCCAGTAAGGGTAGTGTAGGAGGCAACTGATGGATGTTTCTCTCTCATCAGTGTTTCTATCTGTCTCTCCCTTCTTCTCTCTCTAAAACCAATAAAACCTATTTTTTTTTAAAAGAAAATCCTAAAGAATGTATATCTATGGTATTAAAATTTCATTGCAGGGAGTCATGACTAAGAAAAATGTCTAAAAAGTTTACTTAAGAGGGCAATAATGGAAAAAAAAGATTTGAGAAGCACTAGTCTAAAATAAAAAAATTAGAATTAAGGTAAGTTTAACTGTTGGGACTGGAAGGAGGGGGTGTGAGCTTTCTGGGGCCTGACTTTTGCATCTTATGAGACCAGCAGACCAGAAGGGCACAGGAAGGAGAGAGCAGAAAACTGACTCCCCCAACACACAACAATGCACCCAGCAGTTTGGGCCCCAGATGGCTCCAGTGTAAACATAGGCTCCCTGTGGGGCAAATCCCAACTCTGCCACATGCAAGCTGAATGACCTTGAATAAGGTATTCAATCTTCCATTCTACATTCATCTGAGATGTGAGGATGAGAACGTAACAGCACAGGGTTGTTGGGGAGTCTAAATGAGGTCACCCGCACTAAATTAGAAAACACCTAGTGTCTAGTGCATAATTATCTTTCGGTCCTGTTAACTGGGAGCCTTAGTCACCTGGTTGCTCTAGAGGCTCTCACTCCTGGATTTCTGCCCTTCCCACCTCAGTGAGCTCCAGCAGAGTCCCTGCTGGGTCTTCTAGAAGACGATGCTGGGGAGGGGTGGCACAGCCCTGGGATGCCATATTAGGGGGTCTTCCTCAGAAGCTCCTGCCCATCTGTCTATAGTTTCATGGACTTTTCACTTGCTAAAGTGACAAATACCTGTAGCCCCAAAAGTGACTCTAACTTCATTCCTAATTAAATTCCTAACTTCATTCCTAAACTTAATCACCAGTTATGACCCTAAATTTGATATAACCCCAAATCCTAACTTTAGGCCTCACTCCAACTCCTAACCCACCTCATCCTTACCCCAGTTCTAACCTGGGCCTGCACCCTTGCTCTAACCCTCATCCATAATCTGCATTCTAATTCCAACGGTAACCCAGGGTTTTCCAAAATTGTCACTCACTCCCAGTCACTAATTTTGCTATTTATATCTTTGTTCCTTGGGAGCTTGTAGCTTAATATTTGTCCTAGACTTAAAAAACATCCCACTGTAGAGTCATCACTGCAAGTGTGTCCCAGAAACGATTAACGTTTTAAAAGTGTTTCTCCACGCACCGTCTACCTAACGATATCTCCTGTACCACCGGAAGTACGCAAGGCACGTTACCGCCCTCACACCACTAGTTCCCACCCACAGGGCGCCCGGCCCTTCACACCAGGCCGGGTGGGGCTGCTGCACCCTCTGCTGGCGGAGTCTAGGAGCAGCTTTAGCTCAGCTCCGCTTCCCTCTGGGCGGGTCCGTAATGTACTCTCTGACTTGACATTTGGCGTCACAAGCTGTGGGTTACCCTTAATTGTGAATGAAGAAAGGTGAGAAAGGATCCCCTTACTCTAGGCATAGGGCCTAGGGCATCTGGGGTGGGGTAGAGACACGTCTGAAGTCAGAGGAAACAGGAGCTGGGCAGGGGCTGGGCCTGCTGGGAGGTTTAGGGTGCAGGATAGACTCTGGGATATGGAGTATTGTCAGGGTTGGGACTAGGGATCAGAGTGATTCTAGGGTAGGAATAAGAATGGGTGTGAGGCAGGCCAGTGCTGGATGAGGGGAAGGTGCAGGGCAGGAGCACAGCAGGGCCAGGCACCAGGTAAAGCAAAATTTTAAGTAACTTTCCTAGGGTGTGAGTGAGCCCTTGGGTCTCAGCAGGCACTGGAGCAGGGCTGAGCTGGGCAGGGCTGCGCTGAGCTATCCCAGGAAGTCTGCTTTCAGTTCCAGATCTGTGCGGCTGAAATCTCCCATCTGGGTGTACTGGAGACACCCCCTGCTCCCCTTCAGGGCTCCCTCAGAACGAATGACAGATAACTGTTCTGTTCCAGATCTTGTTCTTCATTCCCTGAAGACAAGCCCGTGTACTTTTTTTTTTTGCTAAGCTCTAAGATGTTAATGTAATTTATAAAGCAATAACACTGTCATCTTAGTTGTCTGTAAAATAAGATCTTATATTTGCATGGTTTTTCACATATTAAAGAGCTATTTTCAAACATATTCTCACTGGTTCATATAGTATCCTATGAGATAAAAATGACCCTCATCTCATTTTACAGGGTCAGAGCCCGAGCCTGTTGTACCAGACAAGTCACAGGCGAGGACTGAAACTCAGTGTACTAACCTCTAGCCCAGCAGATTCGTAGGTAGCTGACATGGATAAACCTGACACAGATTCAACGATGAAGCACAGGTAACATATTTGGACTTGCTCCTGGAGATTAAAAACATCAAAACTGAAATCTGGGCACCTGAGACAGGGAGATGGGGTTAAGGATGGTGTCAGTGACCAAATCTCATTACCTGGCTGCTCACCCAGGCCAGGGGAGGGCTACCACCTACACTGCCTGTGCCATAGGAATCCTTGCAAATACTAATTTGAATTCTACCTGAGACATCCGAGACAGCAACACATTAGTCACACATTGCTAATATCCTGGGCCTCCCCTACCTAAGAAGAGTTTTACCACTTTTAGCCCTGGGGACACAATTACTCAGGGGAGCGGAAGCAAAGTTCCTACAGACCTTGGTGTCTGACTCCTGACTTCCACTAGGGGTAGTCCTGGAAGCTGGTGCTTCATCCCCTCCACAGGCCTCTCCCCTTTGGAGATAATCCTGGGCAGGCCCACCCTTGTTTCCCCACTTGGAACAGGGGGTTCACATCAGGAGGACCTCGAGCAATGAAGGGCTTTCTGCTCTCTTAAGTCCTGAAAGATTCCCACAAAGAACAGTTTCTTGAGGCCCGGAAGCACCCCCTTCACCAGGCAGGAGGCTGCTCTGTGGCTCTATGGTGGACAGCATCAGGTTTTGAAGATTCACGTCTTTATAAAGGCTTTGAAAGTGGAGAGAGGGCAGAGCAGCCTTTGTTATAAAAGGTGTGGTGAACAACATCTGAAGGTAATGGGCATTGTGGGGCTGGGCTTGAGCTAGGATCACTGGGCACCACTTAGTCCAGGGCCAGGCTGACTTGCATCTGTCAAGATGATGGCAGCCCCTCTTCCACTCGCCCCATCAGCCTGTTCCTGCCAAGCTTCAGAGGCAGAACTTGCTTTAAATTGGAATCCTATTTGAAATGCATTCAAGTTTACTGTTAGAGCCAGTGCTCTCATTGTGGTAGCAAGATTCCATGTAACCCCTTAGTGAGTTTTCAGGGCACCCAGTGGATGGGGGCTGAGGTGTGGACAACAGACTTCACACTTGTGAAAGCTGAGCCCATAAAGGCTGAGTGTCTGGGCTGCATCCCAGTAGCAATAGCCGAGGAACAGAGATGGGAAGGGGGAGGGGACAGTGGTTCTGCCAGTCAGAAGGGACAGCTCTGACCTGCTAGTGTTCTGCTGCTGACCTCTGGTGTGACCACAGGTTGAGCACCTTAGCTGGTTGCTAGGGTTCAAGAATGAAACCATCTTGTTCACTGCCTCAGTGGTGTGTTGTCCATTCTTTAAAAAAAATTGTTTTCTCTTTATTGATTTTAGAGAGAGGGAGAGGGAGATAGAAATGTCGATGAGAGAAAACGATTGGCCGCCTCCTGCATGGGGATCGGGCCCACAACCTGGCATGTGTCCTGACCAGGAATTGAAATGATGACCTCTTTTTGCATGGGTCGATGCTCAACCACTGAGCCACACCAGCCGGGAGTGTTGTCCATTCTCAAAATCCCAGGATGGCAGAGGTGAATGGGACTCTAAGACCATCCTGGCCAACCAGCCCAGGAAGGGGTTACATCCGATGCACAGTCGTGGTCGGGCCAGGACCTGCTCTGCTGCTCCACACTGCTTCTCCTTTGAGGAGCAGTCTGCACAGCAACGGTTCTGGAACTCAGTGGGCATCAGTATCACCTGGACAACCTGCTAAACTAAACAGCTTGCTGGGTCCCACCCCAGAGAGTCCAGTCTGATTCAAGTCTGGGGTAGAGGTTGTTGGAGGAAACCAAGGTGTGGGTCCCTGGACTCCACAGAGAGCAGCGCTGGGTTAGAGGACATTCCTTGGCAGGGCTGAGGCGGGCAGCACAGACAAACAAAGGGCCATGCTGAGAGGGGTCTGAGGACCAAAGAGCCAAGTCTTGACTAAGGGGAGGTGTTTGTGTGGCCAAGAGGAAGGAAGCAAGTGTGGAGGGAAGTGGGGACAAGCATGGCACAGCGGCATCTTTCTGTGCAGATGTGAAGGGAGTGAACAGAGAGCCGGCCTCCAGGCAGGCAGAAGTTGAGAGAACCCAAGCTCAAGAGGAACAGTTTGGTTTGAAAGGCACTTCGGGTACTGGTGGGGCCACGGGTGCTGCAGGTGGTGTCCTTGGGATGTGTTAGCAGGTCCCCTGGGCAATGGCCGGGGGATCAGGGAGGAGATGAAAGGACATCTATGGATGTCCTCGGGGAAAGGTGGGGGCCACTTTGAGAGCCCAGAGGCCATGCCTTCATCACCCAGGACCTCCCTAATTCTGGCTCCTGTAAGAGAGGGGACCCAGGGACCTGGTGAGTTAACTCATTGGTGCACCAGGGATCTGCTGGCTCCGGGGGTAGCTGCTTGGCCTAGGAACCTTCTCTGTGGGATTTTTAGAAAAGAGGAATTTGGTCCCAGAGAATGAGAACTAATTCTGGACCAAATGTCAGCTGTGTATTAGACTAGGATCTGGGAATGCTGTGATGGGCAGGGCCTGGCTGAGGGACACCATCCCTCTCTGTCCCAAGCCAGTCATTCCGTCATCTCAGCTCTGCTGGGGGGCCCTTTTGGCCAAGTTATGGCTAGCGAGAGGAGAAGAGATGCCGTCTGCTACTGCCAAGGCTGGCCCCTCCAACAGGCTTTTGAAGTAGGTGCTCATAGCCTGCAAGTTGAGAGCAGGCTGGGCAGGGGGCGATGAGGTGGCCTGCAGGTATCGGCTATACTTCTTCAAGCCCCCCTGCGGGTCTTGGTGGTGTGCCGTCAGCAGCTCTATGAAGCTCACGTTGTGCAGGGCCAGGAGCCGGGCCTCCGCCCGGGACAGGACAGCGGCCTGCACCAAGGGCTGCAGGGACCCGAAGCACTGCAGGCTGCTGAAGGAGTAGAAGTGCTGAGCCAGCTGGGGGCCCGGGGAGACCTCGAGGAGGCGGCACAGGTCACGCATGGTCAGTACAGCAGCCAGGGCACTGTGTTCGCTCATGTTTCTTGCCAGGTAGGTCTTGGCCAGACTCTTGAGTTTGAAGCTGCTGGCCTGGGGCACATGCTCCTGGATGAGGGGCAGGGTGGCCAGGAATCCGGAGATGGCCTCCCGGAACTCCCACAGCTTGTTCATGTCCTCCAGGGCCCGGAAGAAGTTGGGGAGGCTGGGCCCCCACAGCTTATAGCAGGCCAGGATGGGTCGGCACATGGAGCTCAGGAAGCGGAGGAAGTGCTGTAGCCCCACCTCCAGGGACACCGCCTTGGAGTAGATGCTGAAGGCCTCAGGCTGGATGAGCACGCGGAACTTGCTCTCCTGGTTCACGGCTGCCAGCTGTCTAATCTTCTGGGCTGGGCAGGAGAGAAGGGCAGGGTGAGGCCCCAGGGACAGGGGAGGCACTGGGCGGGATTAGGGGACCTCCAGGACTGCTGACCCACTATCCAGAGCCTGCTGTCAGCTCTGCTGGGGAGATCTGCTGCCCTCCAACACCTCTGGCTCACTGGCTGGGAGTTCAGCTCCCCCTTCCCTGACAGATTTCTGAGTTCACCAACCCCTTTAGATCCAGGTTCTTCCTGTCTCTCTTCTGTCAGTCTCACCCACCTACCCTTGAGACTCAGCTTCTAACTAGCCCTCCACTTCGTACCCTTGGCCTCCAGTCCCATCAATCACTTAGCTAAGGCTCCCAGCCAGCTGGAGCCCTGGGACACCGGCCTGATCCACTGCACTCACAGTGTGGCCCGGAGCTTCCTGTGAGGTCTGCAAGTGACTTCCCTGTCCTGCAGGAACACCTGGTGCTCTGGTGGGGCTAGCCCCAGGCTGAGCCTGTGCCACAAGGCAGGGCCACAGCAAACACTACAGGAGTTGAGGGCCTTCTGGGAGAAGGGTCATATCTCTCTGTGACCGGCTCTGTTAGCCTCCCTGTGCGGCCCCCTGTGGAATGGGTCTTGTACCCAGAAATGTGCAATCACACGCCCAATGCCTGGCTGGAGTTGGTGGTCTCATAGCAGTGATTTCCTACACACACACTGCGTTTCTGCTTAGAGGTGCCTTCCCAAGGCTCTCCACGTAAGAGAAGCGCTCCTCAGAGGTGAGCTCATGGAGGCGCTTGTCTAGTGCTCTCAGGCACTAGTCCAGGCAGCTGTCCTTATTCAAACAACCAAGTGGTACACTTGGGAGTCCCAGGGGAAATGCAGTAGGAGCTCTCTGCCCCCTCTCTGGCGTGGTCACGGCAGGGCCCAGAGCCTTGCAGGTGACAGGCTGTACTTATCTTGGGGACTTAGAGACTAAGTTAGAAAGTGGTGGGGATGGTCATCAGAGAACCCACTTTCACTGTCAATCTTGAGGTCAAAGAAAACCAGGGGCCTGACTTCTGAGTGGAGGTCTGTGAGGTTGTCATCCAGGACCCTGAGGGAGTTGGGGCCCTCCAGCTGAAGGTCACTGGACTCGCTGCTGCTGTCATCCAGCTCTCGAAAGGACTGCAACACAGAAAAACCAACAGATCAGGGGTCTGGAGGGTGACAGTGCACATATTAGTCATGTGAGCAGGTGCTGGTAAGCAGGTGTGTGTAGTCACATGTGTGGGAACATGAGCAAGTGGGTATGGCCCGGGCTTCTGCATGCACATGCCCAAGGGCATGTTATTGGAGAAGGAAAGTGTGTGTCTAGGTGAGTACATGTGCATGGGAATGTGTGCATGATTGGACGTGGATGTACATGTGCACTTGTGCAGGCTGTGTTTCAGCCAGTGCACCTGCATTAGTGAGGAGGGATGAGAGGATAAGATCATGTGGGCAAATGTGTGTGCATCTGGGTGTGTACGGGGAGGTGTGAATTTGTGAAGCTGTGTGAAAACTTGAACATGAGTAAGTGTGCACAGGGGTGAGTAGTGCTGGGTGTGGAGGCTTAAAGGAGGGGCCAGTGCTATAGTGGGTAGGGCTGGAGGTGCCTGCTCCTCACTTCATCTCGAGCAGACTCAGAAGAAACATGAACTGAAGACAGGAGGAAAGAGCCTCATCTTGAACTCCAGATGTTTCTCTAGAAGGGGCCAGGAGCCTGGCTTTTCTTGTCCTCAAAGCCAGCTGAGGTCTCAGTGTTATTCAAAGGGGAGGGGGAGGACTGCTCAGCTTCTAGGACACCACACTGGGTGGACATGCAGAGCCTGGCACTGAGAGCAGTGGAGGGATCGAGCTCAGAGCCGGGGGCCATCATGCAGCAACCAGGAGCTGGCTGCTTAGGGGGCCCTGACAGCCCTTCAGGGCAAGAACAGTTTGAAATGCCTCTGGTATTGGGGAAGGGCTCCAGTCCCAAGGGGCTGAGGGAGAGGCATCTTCTCATAATAGAGAGTTACCTGCTCGTTATCTGCACAGCTGCCAAACCCAGATGTTGTTTTTGGTGGCCTGCTCGGAACTTCCTGTGAATGTCACTTGTGGACATTAGCCAGAGACCAGGAGGGAGGGACATGATCAGCATCCTAGAGCTGGTTGGGGGAACTGCTGGGACTCAGTTCAGAGCAGGCCGCAGTCTTTCCTCCTATGGACTGCCTCTGGCGGGTTGATGGAGTTGGCCTCACTTGGGCCATCTGAGGTCTCCATGAACCCTGGCCTCTGACTATGTCCCTGTCCTGGGAGATAATTAGCATATCATCCTAGGCCCTTCTACTCTCTGGGTAAAACATTTAATGAACAAAAAATCAACCAAGAGCTAAGTCATTACTCATTACCCATAGCTAACATGTGCTGGATACTCCTAGGAGTGGCTGGTTTTTACTTTGCATTTCATAGCCCTATCCCAGGCTCACCAACTTCCTCCTACTCATTGATAGAAACATTCACTAGAAATCCATCCGGAGCTGGTTTTACTGAGAAGCTTGAATTCCGAGACTTTAGACAGAAGGCCCTAATAAGAAACTTTGTCAAATGCCTTGCATATCAGTGCCCTTGAATCGGCCGTGCGGCCAGGGCTGGTTTTGCACAGCTGTCTCTAACTCTCTCACTGTCCCAGCTTCTTTGCCTCCTTTGTAAGGTGTCTTCTACAGCATCTTCCTGGAGTTGATAGCTGGCACACCAGAAACTCCACCTTCTGCCCCTGTGAGAGCCCAGTGCCTTTCTCTCAGCTTCCAGAGCCTGTTCTGTTCACAAGCAGCAGCACTCTTGCACTTGGGCTGGTAGAGAGCTGGGCTCCCCTTGCTGTTCTCGCCCGGGCCTCAGCTCCCACCAACGGCTGAAGATTCATCCCCTTGGCTGAATCCTCTCTGCCACCCACTGACATGGGACACTGGGCTTTCTATTCTTCCTTCTTCTCTTTGCTCCAAGTGTAAGTACAAAAGCCCTTGCAGTGATCCTGAGGGCTTCCACCTGTCTCCTTCCTTCTGCGATGTCTTTTCAGGCCTCAGAGCCAGAATCTTCTTTTAGGATATTCTCTTCCAAGTTAAGCTCCCTGGAAAGCAGAACGGCTGCATCTTTGGGCCAGTTCCCTCATCTTTATGTGGGTGGGGGGGAGGGGTGATTCATGATGGCCATCAGAGCCTCGTTTTTAGAGCCTGCCATTGTCCTGGGGTCATTTTCTTTTATACGGAAATGTCCTCTGTCCTGAACTTACTGAAGACCCTGCAGGCTCCCTTAATGAAAGGGCACCATCTCCATTCCACTGAGCCTATCAGGGGAGGGAAGCGGATCTCCCAGCCCTGGCTCCTCTTGCCTTGGGAACTTCCATCAAGTATGGCTTCTCTGTGGGGCTGGTCTCACGGGAACACCTTCCACTGAACTCCAGCCATCTGTAAGCTCAATTCCCCTATCCTGGGAAGTACCGGAACACTTACAAAAGACTAAAAAGACCCAGGTTTAACAAAAGGGCAATCAGCACACAGAGGCTCTGGTGCAAAACACCTTTCTGCCCCTACTCACTAAGAAAACCCTCCCTCATGTTCCACCCCCAACCCCTCTGCTTATTCCACAATCAGGATATTGAGTAGGTGGGGGAACAAAGAGAGGGGCTGTGAAAAACCAGAACCCAAGCCAGGAAAAGGCCTTTCCTTGCAAAAGCTGAGGTTTGTTTGGCTGGGAAAGGGACGGGGCAGACATGAAGCCGGGCAGATGAAGTCCCCGCCTGAGGCCTGGAAAGTGAGCAGTGGGGAACGCTGAGGACCCCGGGGGTGGGAGAGGGTGGTAGCTGAAAGTGGAAGAGGAATTGAAAAGTGCTGCCGTGTGTTAGGCTTGGATCCCTTTGAAAGATGCAAGTAAATACTGGAATTTATTTATTTTTTTATTATACTTGGCTAATGAACTGTTTCTTTGATGTGTTTCTCAGACTGAGCCACAAGGAATCCAGGATTTTTTTTAGAATATACACGCAGTCTGGTTCACAAGCTATATTTCACCTCAAGTCAACCACATTCCAACTCAACCCGGCAGGTCGAACAGCTACACCAAAGGATGCTCATGGAAGCAGCTGGGCTGACAATTTAACCACCTTCCAGAGGTCTAAGTGGTTTATCTAGGAAGATCCAGTTCTCATCTCCCCTTCTGGGTAATATCCTGGAAGTGAGTCACTGCCATTCAAGGCTGATACATACACATGTCTCAGCAGCACTTCTCTGACACAACTGTGCAAATGAAGCCCCCGACTTTGTCAGGGTTCTCTCCTTTGTTTCTGATTAGCAGCTTAAAAAACTCTTAATGCCCTGCCTTCACCCAGACCAATTCAATTAGGGTCTCTGTGGATAGACCTAGGAATCTGTCATTGGTAAAACCCCAAATGACCAGTGCCAGGCAGGGCTGAGAAGGACTGTCCTAATTACTGATTGAGTCCAGGTCTGTTCATCAGGCAGTGAGATAGGAGTCAAACCGTTTGAGATTCAGCATCTAGTCACCAGATGACATCTACCTACTATCTGACATTATTGCATACCAAGAGTGCCCAGCTCCTGAGGGACTTTCTCAGCATCAAAGCTTAGGCAACATCTGGGATTAATTTGGCAAGACACATGCATTGCTAGTTTTTGCAGATATAAAACCGCAGCTTTTTCTTGCAGTCTGGAAGGCCCCAGAGGTACCTCACCTGTATCTGTGAATGAGCCCAACTTGTTAGCTCACCATTGGCCCCACTGCCCACTGCCCCAGCCCCTCCGCAGGCTGCTGCTGTCCCTCTGGGAAAAAGGTTTCCATCTTCCCAGTGGAGCACCTTTTTTTTTTTGACACACACTCACCAGCATCACTGTCCCTCCCCTGGACCAACTGCTCCCCACAGGCCTCCCTCCCACTGCCACTCCTGACACAGACCCTCGGCTAGGTGCCCTCCTGCTTCCACTTGGTCTGCCGAATGCCAGTTCCTGGGGCTAATCGTCTGTTGCAAGAGTGATGAGAACACTTATTTTTTCTACCTTGGGTCCTAACACAGGGCCTACGGCAGAGGCACTGCTGACAGGTATCCACCACCAGGCCTGGGTCTTGCCCTTCTACCTAACTACAGTCATGGCCCTACTCCCTCATCTAGCGGGGGTGAGGCCTCTTTCAGAGGGCCCCTCGCTCTCACAGCCTCTCCCCACCCAGCAGGCCTGCACTAGAGCCTCCAGACATGTCCAAATGGCAGCGACCCACACCCCTGCAGCCCGAGTAGGGGTGGGGGTGACTACTTGGAAAGTGCATGTTAGCAGGCCGGTACTCTACAACTGTCGCTGGAAGCTGGGAGAAAGGCCACAGGGAGGACATGGGAATGCAGGAGCCTCGAGCACCCAAGGAATGTCCCCCTGCCCCTCCCTCCGAGCTGCTTCAAACATTCTGGAGCGCCAGGGGTCTGGAAAGGGCATGGAAGGTGGGTAAGAAATGCATCAGGGGGACATAACTTGTTTTCTTTAAACTTTTTTATCAAAAAGTTTGGGACTCCTGTAATGGTTAATTTAAAAACTGTCTGAAGAACACCTACACAAAAGCAGTGGTCCTCTGGCTCCCTCCACACTTCCAGACTAGTGTCAAAGGTGAGCAGCTAATTCTTCATCACCTGCAGTGTGCTTCTCCCTCCTTCCTCGATCGACCTCAGGCACCACCTAGCTCCGTGCTGACAGCTGAGGGCTGGCCTGACACCCACACACAGCCTCCGACACCCACTGGTGTCACTGCCTCCAGTGCCTGGCTCTCAGGAAGTCCAGTGAGACCAGTGGCATCCAGTCCTTTTCTCTAGCTTTCCTTCCCAGGCTCAATTTTGTTTCAATTATATCTTGGTTATGGGAGGCAAAAGTGTCAGATTTCAGAGGAACTTAGAACACCGAAAGACAAGACTCAAAAATGTGAGGAATAGAAAGGGGGTGTCCTGGGCAGCTTCGGGGTCTCAGCTTGTGTAACTGGGCAGATGGCGCAATTCACCAAGCGGAGCAAGAGATGAGTTCGAGGTCTCTGGGACATCTGAGTGCAGCTGCAGGAGGGCCGCTGGCTGTGCTGGTCTGGTGTCAACAGCCCCTGGGCTGTAAGTGAAGAAGACACAGGCCTGGCTGAGATCATGGGAGGGAAGAGGGCCCAGAACCAAAACTGGAACATTGGAAAAACAGAGCCCTTAAAGGAGAACAGCAGCAGTCAGGCTGCGGGAGGGAACCGTCCTGATCCAAGGGGAACCATTAGACTTGGAGGCAGGGAGGTTACTCTGGTGTGGAAGGCAGGGTCCATGGCACAGTGAAGGAGAGCAGGGAAGCGGGGTGAGCAAGGAGAGCCTGGGCTAGAAACACAGGAGGTGAGGAAAGGGGGGTTCTGAGATGGGAAGACTCCTTCCTTCAGCATGTTTACATGGCTCATGAGGAAGTGGAAATATCTGAAGATGCAGAGGAGGATGGGGAGATGGGGTCGGCTCTCAAGGAGGCAGGGGTGCTGGGGCCAGGACAGAGGAGTCCCAGAGGGAGGTAGATGTCCCTCCACCTTAATAGGACAGGGGGAAGAATCTGATGGGGCAAGGTCAGTCTGTGAGTGGATATTGGATATCAAGATGTCTGAGGGTTCCTATTGTCTTCCCAGGCAAGGGTGTGACCGCCTGCCCAGACGGAGGGTAGGGATGAGGGCCCAGAGCTCAGGCTGAGGAGGTGCAGTGAGCTGGGGTGGAGGGTGGGAGAGCGCGGCAGACCGACTGGCTTTCCTCCTGCTGATCTCCTCCAACAGTGCAGCTCTAGACGGCAGTGCGAGGCGAGCTACTGAACCCCTCAGGGCTGTCCTCGGAGGGCAGGCCTAATGGGACGCCAGGAGGAGACAAGGTACTGAGATCCTGATGAAAGATGGGCTGAAATGGTGCACAGACCTTGCCAGCTGGAGGTAAAGGCAGAGGAGCTGGGTGGGAGAGCGTGGAGGTCCTGGAAGTTACTTTCGGAGCTTAAGGGACAGGAGGCTGTGGTCAGTGTCGAGTGGGCCAGTTTAGAGATGGACAGTTCAGCGATGGTGAGGTTTCATGGGTGGCCTTGCGGTGAAGGAGAGGTCGAGGAGCAGAGAGGTCAGGGTGGACGATGCTGCAGCCCCCCAGGAAGAAGGGATAGGAACCTTAGGAAGCAGGAGCTAGAGTCTTCCCTATGTGGGGGAAGTGGAAGGACATCTGATATGAGCTGGAGAAAGTGGGTTCACCTCAAGACCTGGAACCTCAAAGGCACAGGCAGTCTTACCAGATGGTGGGACTGAAACAGCCCAGAAGGCACAGAGGGCCTTGACCCCACCTCTGAAGCTCAGAGTGTGGCAGAAAGAGGGACATAGTAACCCCACAGGAAACCAAGCTTCAGTGCAGGGAGGTGACAAAAGCCACCTGCAGGGAAGCTGAGTCCAGCAGGGCATCTGTTGGTCATGGAGAAAGGGTTTGCGAGGGTGATCTTTCAACAAACATTTATTGAGCAGCCACATCTGCCAGGTCCTAGGACTGACACAGCCCCTGCCCTCATGGGCTTAGATCCTGGCAGAAGCCCAGTGGAAAGGTGGGGGGCAGAGGGAGGAACAAAGGTTGAGAGAAGTTTTGTTTTCTTGAGCAGAGGCCCAGGCATGTGAGGAGTGGTGGCCTGAATCTGTCACACCCTCCAGGCTAAAGAGGACTAGAATATCTCTGCCCAGAGTCCATTACTTCCTTGGTTCACTCCTTGACCAAGATGTATGAATGCCTACTGTGTGCAGGGCCTTCAGGTGTGGGCTGGGTGGGGCAGCGGGATGGAGGAGGCAGGAGCAGAGCGGGGTGTTGGCCACAAGGTTACAAGAGGATGGTGGCCAGTGGCGGTTGAGGGAAGCACTTGAGGATCTCAGGGGCTTGCCTGAGGGGAGCCCAGGCTGGGGGGGGGCTTCTCTGGGGAAAGGATTGGTGGGGATGTATCTGGAGGGACTTCCAGTGTGACCTGGATTTGGGGATTCTCTACAGGGGTCCTGTCAGAATCCTGGGGGGAGACTCTTACCCCAAGAGTCTGGGGTGATTGGCCTCCTACCCTGATCCCCCTCAGAGAGGCATCAAGCTGGGGAGCTACAGAGGAGAGAGGAAGAGCAAAAAATTTGTTGAGCCACTGAGCTATACGAGGGGATCCCCGGAGGGAGTGGCCAATAGGCTGCCCTGCCCTTCGTGCCTGTCGGGGTTGGCTGATGGCCTTTTGGAAGCAAGCAAGATACTCCTGGGGGTTGGCTGGATGGTTGGGAGGCTGTGTAACGGCAAGGGTGGAGGTTTGGATCATGGGGGAAGGAGAAGTCCACACAGGGGCACGAGGCACTTTGAGTGGTAAGTGGTGACGAAGGCGGGTGGCTCTTTGTATTCCCCGAGACAGTTGGCTGATCCCACGATGGATGGTGGCATGGTCCTGGAACCTGGCAGGCTGGCTGGGAGACTTGGCATCGGGGATGACAGCTTGCTGGGTGGGATTGTGGGGAGACCAAGCCAGGCAGCGGTGTATGCCTCGGGACAGACGGGAAGCCCGGCAGGTGTTGGATGTTCCCAGTGTTCTCAGCAGGGGACAGGCTGGCCGGGAGTGTGTCCTGGTAGTCTCCTCGGGCTCCATGCACTTTCCAATACAGAACCTCAGACTGAGGGCTGGAAGGGACTCAGGGGCCTCCCAGTCCAACCTTTCACTCTGTTCAGATCCTCTTTTCCCCTGGACTAGTGACTGCCCAGCCCCATTAACAAACATCAGGGACAGAAGGGTCACAACCCACAAACCACTGTTCCCTTTTAGGATGGCTTTAAAAGAAGTTCTTTCTTACCTGGAGTGACAATGGCTTGTGTGGTCTCTACGTTGTGTTGCCCTGTGCCCTCACCCACCCCCTGCACCGGCCCTCATTGGTATCCAACCTCCTTGTTGAGGAGGGGACAGAAGTACATAAAGAAGCTCTCAACAAAGGTGATGGCTAGTCCAGAAAAGAGACCACTTTGGAAGGAAGCACTCTATCAGCAGTTCAGAGAGAATAAATGGTTATTGAAGGCCCCTCGTCTGGAGGGAGGGTTGGGGTGGGCCAGGCCCACTGCTGGCATTTGGAGACTGTCCTCAGGACAGCTCAGGACTTACTGCCTCACTGGAAAACGCCCCGGGCACAAGGCAGGTCTGAGAGTCACCTGCTGTAGCTATGTCCCCTGGGACCTGGAATGGGGGAGGCAGGAAGCCCAGGCCAAACTTCTGGGCCACTCACCGAGTTTTCGGCATCCGAGTCCTCTGAGCTGCTGATCACCACAATGCGCTCCTCTGAAACGAGGCAGGGGAGGCAGCATTAGGCCTGTTGGGTGTGCTGGCTCCTTCCCCTCCACCCCCCAGTTCTCCTGTGGGAACACTTGCAGGCCAGTCGACCGGGTTGGTGACATGTAGTCTGCAAGAGGTGATGTCAACAGACACCACGTGTGCCTGTGTGGCTCTGTGTTACAGTGGCTTTCCGTGACTGCCGGCTGGGCCCTGCCAGGAACACTGAATTCAGCTGCTGGCCCCGAAAGCAGAATCTGCTCCCCAGAGAGGCCTCACAAGCACCGCCTGGTTCGGAATCGTCCGCAATCCTACAGGAGCACATCGGTGTGTTCCTACTCAGACCCATGAGTTGAGATGTTCAAGTTAAAAGATACCCTACATTGCCCTGGCTGGTGTGCTCCGTGGTTAGAGCACTGGCCTGTCACTAAAGGGTCACAGGTTCCATTCCCAGTCAAGGGCACATATCTGGGTTGCTTGTTCAATCCCGGCCCCAGTTGGGGCGGGCGTGGGAGGCAACCAATCGATGTATCTCTCTCACATCAACGTGTTTCTTTCTCCCTCTCTCCTCCTCCCTTCTTCCCTCCCTCCCTTGTTTCCACTCTCTCTAAAAATCAATGGAAAAAATATCCTTGGGTGAGGATCAACAACAACAGCACAGATGCCCTATATCTGGTTAAAGACTTGATTTACCAATAGCACTTGGCAAGGAATATCACTTAGGGCTGGGTGTGTAAGCAGGACCAGGGCTCAGGCTGGGACCTAGAATGAGAACACAGCTGGACTGCCTTGAACCTCCCATAATCCTATGGGCTGACCTCAAGTCTTGCCCAACGACTCCCTACCAGGCGGTGGCCAGAAAAGATACCTGGGACAAAAGAGGTGGCGGTAGCCTTTGCAGAAAATTTGGGAACCGATGGGTGTGAACTTGACTCAAGTCATCTCTGAGAATGTGCTAGACACCCACCAAACAAACGTTTCTTGGGGATACCCACTCTGTGCAGAGGCATGGTGCCGAGTTCTGCATGAGTGTGCGGGGTGAAGGAGCTACGGGGCCATGGGCTTCAGCCTCTCGTGTTCCCGCACTGGAACCCCAGCAAAGCACATGGTCACAAAACCGCAGGCACTCTCACCCTCCCCCCCCCCCCAGGCAACCTGGCTCTCCCTGCCCCGTCTACTGGCCGCTGAAGGCAGGACACAGGGAATGCTGTTGGCTTTGGGCTCCCTGGGTGGGGTAGGATGCAGAGCAGGGGTCCCACCCAGCCCCTGGAGGACAGCATGCAGGCCTCGGCCTTTGTTGCCCCCGACCTCCCTACCTGCCTCCCCAGAGACGCCAGTCTCATGGCTGCTGTTGAACAGTAATTCCTCATTCCCTACGGCGTGGCTCTTGGGTCTGGGGGATCCCTCCAGGGGTGGTGGCGAGACTGCCTTGGAGGTGCTGGGCCTGGGCTGCTCGGGGGAGCTCCAGGACAACCTGGCCTCCTTCTCTTCCTCAGACTCCATCTTGATAGCCTTCCTGGGGCACTCGGTCTGGCACGACTTCCTCTTCTGTGGCGTGGCTGTGTTGGAGATCTCCTGTGCAGTGGGGAGTCACAGTGCCACATCAGGAGCCTCCCGGGGCCCTAAGGTGGTGGGCAGAGACCCAGACCTGGGTGGCAAGGGCCTGTGGCCATCCCCTCTGCTCTCCACTACAAGGAACCTGTGTCTCTCCACACAGGAAGCCCTCCTAGGTTGCCATGCACACTGGCCATTGTCTGCCAACCACCGGCCTCTGCCTACCCTGGCAGTGGCTCATATGCTTAGCGTAGAGGGCAACTTCCTGACAGGGCAGCTAAGGGCAAGGAAGGGCATACACCAGGTGCTGACTAAGGTCTGGATTCTCACCAGCTCCACCTCTTATTGCTTGCTGAGATCTGGGCTCTCAGGAGGGGAGGTGGGGACTACAAAGAACTTACCTCTCTGCGGGAGGGGTCTTTGATGGAGTAGGCGTACATGGGCACAGGGTGTGTCCTGGGCACTGACTGTACCACTGCCACAGGCTGAACCTCAGCTGGGCCTAGGGCCTGCGCCTGAGCCATCTGTGCCCCCACTGGCTGCAAAGTCAGGAAAGGAGAATCAGAAATAACTGCAGCAGGACAAGGGCTGGGAACCTCGGCCTGGGGTCAGCCCAATCCCCAGGGCCTCACCCAGCCACAGGTACAGGCTGCCTAGTCCAAAGCCCAGAGCCTCTAGGGCCCAAGAGTCCTCCCCACACCCTCCTGGCTTCACCTCATGACCCTGAGGTGCTGGCATCCAGGAATCACTGCCCAAAAACTTCTCAAGGCGCACTCAACATCTACCCTACATAGCTCCAGGGACCAAGTGCTCGCAAGAATCACCTCCTCTACAACAGCCAAATTGTAACAGGAAGGACACTTTCATCTGAGCTGAAACTGGCCTCCCTGTGGCCTTCATTTTGCCTGTGGGCCTTCACTCTTCCTGGGTCAGAATAGCCACTACACCTTGGAAAAATCACTTAAAACTCCTGGGGCCTCAGTCCCTCTATGTAAATGGGAATAATCGTACTATCTGCCTCACAGAGTAGATGATAGTGTTTTTATTACTGCTCTGTGCCATTTACAGTGCTGAGTGCTTCATGTACCCATCTGAAAAGGAAGTAGAGGCAGCTCCTCAAAAAATTAGACACATCATCTTCAAGATTCAACAATTCTGCTCCTAAGTATGTATCCAAAGAAGAGAAAACAGACTTGCAAACAAAAACTTGCATATGAACGCTCACAGCAGCACTATTCACAATAGCCAAAAAATGTCTATCAACAAAATGTGGTACACCCATAGAGTGGAGTATTATCTGGCCAAAAAAAGGAGTAACATTTTGATACACACACATGAATGAACCTTAAACACATTATGCTTAGTGAAAAGCAGCCACAAAAGGATACATATTGTATATTTCCATTTATGTGAAATATCCAGAATAGCTAACTGCACAGAGACAGCAAGCAGCTGGTGGGCGCCAGGGGCTGGAGGAGGGCACAATGGGGAGTGAATGCTTCATGACTTTCGGGTTTCTTTTTGGGTTAATAGAAATATCCTGGAACTACATAGGTGGGATGGTTGTACAAGACTGTAAGTGTAGCCTGGCCAGTGTGGCTCAGTGGTTGAGCACTGACACATGCACTCAGCGGTTGCTGGTTCGATTCCCAGTCAGGGCACATGCCCAGGTTGTAGGCCTGATCCCCAGCATGCAGGAGGCAACCAGCTGATGTTCTCTCTCATCAATGTTTCTATCTCTCTCTCCCTTTCTCTCTAAAATCAATAAAGAAAAAATATCTAAAAAAAAAGATTGTGACTGTACTGAATGTCACCGACTTTTACATTTTAAAATGGTTAAAATACCTTTCTTACGTGAATTTTACCACAATAAAAAGAAATTATAGTTAAAAAAAAAAAAAAGAGGTCGGTACCATCCCATGATTATCACCAATCCACAGAGAAGGCAACTGAAGTACAAGAGAGGGGGAGTTATTTCCTAAGGTCACAAACCTAATAAGGGCCCGGAATAGGGTTTGAACCCAGTGTTCTGAAATGAAAGTTCCTGTCCAGTGCCTGTGCAGCTTGCTTTTCTCCATTCACTGTCTCCTTTACGACCCTCCCAGCATCCTTCCCTGTTGTGTGAAACAACAGCCTGCTGAGAATGAGTGAGTGATGTGGGAAGTGCCCCTTTGAAAGGAGAGGCCCACACTCCTGTCCCTAATCTGACCGCTTAGTGCCTCAAATTCTGTGTGAGCTCAGTGGATGATCATCGCTCAAGAGCCTGCATTCTGTCCACACAGTGAAGGAAAGGCATTCCAACACCGCGAGGGCCCTTTATTAAGTAGAGCTGCATTGGAAAAGCCAGGTGACCAGGCTGTGAGATTACAAGGCTAGGGATACACTTTCCTACTTGAAACAAGTTCTGCCCTTCCTGTGTGGAGAAAGACATGGTCAGGCCCACCCTTAGAGGGGGACGCCAAAGATGACCTGGCCGGACTTGGGCTAGGGTAGGCAGGGAAGGCCCAGAATGATGGGGCCATGACCGGGGTTCTGGACTGGAGCCAGGCAGGGCTCTTTTTGGTAGCAGTGCTCTGATGTGGGCTGTGGGCTCCTCCACAGTCTGCTATAATGGACTGACTTTATCCTCATTCCTGGGTTTCTTTTGCTCAACATCTTTACAAAAAGGGAGGAGAGTTGTCTTGGAATAAGAGAATGAAGGCTGTGTGGAAGAAGGGGAGAGAATGGACAATCTCTGACTCCGGGAAAATGCAATCTCCACTGAGTGCTCTACGCAGTGTTTTTCATACCGTATACACTGCGACCCATTTAGCAGATCATGAAAGCAATCAAGTGGATCATGACCTGCATTTTGTTGTTGTTGTTTTTAATCCTCACCTGAAGACATTTTTTCCATTGATTTTTAGAGAGAGTGGAGGGTGGGTGGGTGGAGAGCAAGAGAGAGAGAAACATCAATGTGAGAGAGACACACTGATTGGTTGCCTCCCTCATGTGCCCTATCTGGGGCTAGGGATGGAACCCAAGTGCCCTTGACTGGAAATTGAAACTTCGGCCTTTTGGTGCCTGGGCCAATGCTCTAACCACTAGGTAACACCAGCCAGGGCATGATCTGCATTTTTTTATATAACAGAACAGAAAATATTTGAATGATCCCATGTAATAAGTGTAATTTGTTTCACACAACTTCTGTTTTAGCTGGAGATACGTGTGTATATATATATAGAGTGTAGCCTAGATATAAAATATATTTACAATGTGTGGTGGTCAAAAAGTTTGAACCATCTATTAAAAAAAAAAAAAAAAATAGCTCTGGCCGGTGTGGCTCATTTGGTTGAGCATCACCCCAGGCACAGAAAGGTTGCTGGTTCAGTTCCAGATCAGAGCACATGCCAAGGGTTGTGGGCTGCATTCCTGGTCAGGGTGGGTGTGGATGGCAACTGATCCATTTTTCTCTTCTGCATAGATGTTTTTCTCTAAAAAAATCAATGGGGACGTGTTAAAAAAAAAAAAAAAAAGTATGGGTGAGAATGTGGAAACATTGGAACCCCTGTGCACTGTTGATGGAAATGCAGAATGAATTTTCCACTATGGAAAGCTGCCGGGCAGTTCCTCAACAAATTACAAATAGAATTACCATATGATTCAGCAATTTCACTTATAGGTAAATTTTATGTTACATGTATTTTGTCATCATTAAAAATTTTTTTTTAAGTTGAAAAGATCCTCCTCTACCCTTTCATGTCTGGCTCTACTGGCTGCTGATATGTAAGAGAACTTTCCCTGTGGGCCATGAACTTCCCAAAGGCAGGATCTGGTTCCTCTTTGACTCTCCCTAACACCTACCCATAATGTTAATGAAGCAGGGGACACATGAAGGCTCAGTAAAGGGAAAAAAAGATATCATGATGGCTGATTTGTAGTTGTTTTATAGCTTTACATTTTTTATTTTTTCATTCAAGTATTGTAACATCATTGCAAAAAGAGCCTATGAGAAACAAAGACGTGAAATGCCTGAGCCACCCCACACCCCCTGCAGTCCTAGTTAAGCCTGTGGGCATATTTTATCATCTCTGCTTAGGCACATGGTTGTGATAAAAGTTAATCATCAGTTTCAAGAGAGATGAGTTGGTACCAGAGACCCAGGTAGGGAGGTAGATCTGGGAGTTGCCTTCCTCCTGAATGATGGCCCTGACTCTCCTGGGACAGCTGGACCTGCCTGCCTCACTTGAGCTGCCTCACCTGTCTTTTGCACTCACAGTGTTATTCATTTCTTTTTCCCCAGCCTCACCTGCTGGCCGAACCCCTCCTCCAGCCTATTACTTAAAGACCACAAGAGGCTCTGTAAAAAGAACATTCTCCTGATGCTCTAAGTCAAACTACTTTACTTAGTAATGGGTAGTGAAAGGTCACCTCAACATAAAAACACAGCCAAATGCCTAGACCTTACACAGTCAGTATGTACTCTCTTGCTGTTCTTCAACCAGCAGCTGGCACCTGGCAGGCAGCTGAGATCCGTGGACCCAGGGCACTTTCTACTATTATTCACAGGCTTTCTTTAGGGACATTATTCTAGCACTGTATGTAATACAAAAAAACCTAAATATGCATGGACAGAGAATTTGCTAAATAAAGCATGCTATATCCATTCAATGAACCACTACGCAGATGCAAAAAGACACCAAGAAGGAATACTTCACTGGATGAAATAGCCTGAGGCACAACACTATGTATACGTGGCACTATACTACCTATGTGTAAAAAAAAAAGGAAAAAGCAAATATCTATAATTGTATTTACTTGTACTCACATAAAGAAATTCTGAAAGGGCCCTGGCCGGTTTGGCTCAGCGGTTAGAGCGTTGGCCTGCGGTCCGGAGAGACCCGGGTTCGGTTCCCGCTAAGGGCACGTACTTCGGTTGCAGTTTGTCCCCGGCCTTGGTTGGTCGTGCGGGTGGCAGCCACTCGATGTGTCCCTTTCACGTCGATGTTTCTCTCTCGCTCTCTCTCCCTCCCACTCTATCTGTACAAAAATTGGAAAAATGTCCTCGGGTGAGGATAAAAAAAAAAAAAAAGAAATTCTGAAAGGATATGTAATAATAAAGATAGGTATGTGAGCATAAGAACGGACAGATGTTGGGGGGCCAAGGTGGAAATGTGACATTTCTATGTTTTTATTTCTGACCATGTGATTATATTTCCTATCCAAAAATTAAAATGTCAATTCTTTTACTTTTGAAGCTATGTCTATAGGGATACAGGAACTGGCTTCTTGTCCTGCCCCAGCTCACAATGTGGCCTCGAGTTAAACATTCTCTCTCTGGACCTTAGCTTTATCCTCTGTAAAAGAGAGGGTTACACTTCAGTCTCTCTCCTAGCTCTAAAATGCTTGGATCTAAAAGTCCTGCCTCCTCCAGGAAGCCTTTACTGATTGCTACAGCCCTCAGTAATCTCCCTCCCCTATGGGTCATGCCATAGCAAAGCTAGGAAGGCTTGCCTCCCTGACCACCCCCACCAACGGACCTGCTTTCCATGGATATCTGATCAGTTCTGGACCCAGATCCTAGACAGGCAGGCACATGCAAACCTAGGTGAGCAGGATGGAGGGAGGAGACCAGATACCTGGTCCTTGAGGGAACTGAGGAGGCTGATCCTGGTGGAGAGTACCATGCATGTAAGCACCCAAGATGGCAAACCAAAGGGGTGCCATTGCATTTCTACCCAGGGAAATACTCTTAAGTCAGAGCAGTCCAGAGATGGGAGTGACAGCCTTCAAGATTGAGCAAGCTTCCTGTCCTTGAAGATGTATGCATGAAAACTGAACGGCGACAGGTCAGGGGCACTGCAGAAGGAATGCCAACATTAGAATGGGTATGGGCACCTTCCAAACCTGAGAAACTATGTTTTTTTGATATATGCTGACCCTGAAATTATACCAATAGAACCCAGGCTGCTGAGTGGAGGTCCGACTCCTGGACCCATTCTCCATTCCTCTCCAAGAACCATGTGTGGGGGAAGAGGATGGAAAGGTCCACACGTTGACCCGAGGAAAAGACTCAAATATCTGGGATGGGGCGTAGGGAAAGGAGAGGTCATCAGGGACACCCATCAACCACTTCCTTCACCTCCTGTCCACCCGTAAGTTTAACTGCTCCTGAATCAATCAAGAGCTACTGTGGTATCTAGGAACCCAGAACAGCCAGCCCCACCTTTCCTCTCTCTCACTAAAAGCTCTAGTCCAGCCATTTCTCAGATGCTTTCCCTAGTCTATCACCTGCAGACACAGGTATAACAAGACTTGGTTTCCTTTCTGACATGGGGAAACTCCCAACCTGCCTGACCTGCTGGACCGTACCACCTCCATCAGCCCTCAAACCCACCTTACCAGGTCAACGTCAAAAGATTCCCTGGGAGTGCTGGTAACCTCTGGGCTGGCTTTCCTGGGTAGAACTGCATCTGCAGAATACAGAGAAGGTCATAAGCAGGTCAGGGGCTTCCCTGGTGAGAGGTATCCTGCCCTAGGACAGTGACAGAGGGAAAGAGAGAATATGCCTATTGCTATTCTTGGAGACCACTTCCCCAGGGTCTCTCACAATACTGGAGCAGCTCCACAGAGGGACTAGCAGTTGGAAGGAAAACTCCCTGACTGCCTGCAGTACACATGAACCCATTCAGAAGGGAGAAAGGGGTGGCATTAGTGAGCACTTGCCTTTGGCCCCAAATAAGTGCACCTCTCTCCATCTCTGGGCCAACACCAAAGCAAAGTGTGAAAGACACAGTAAAGGTGTGTTACTGTTTGCTTCCTTCTCTGCATACAGTGAGAGATCCATGACATTCTTCTGACCCTCAGCCTGGTTTTTATTGAATATAATCTAAATCCCTCCTGCTTTAGATTAAAATAGTAACTCTTTTCTTTGTCACTGACCAGCTACAACCCCCAAGGCAAGCTGTTTAAAAGTCTGTGGGGTCATTTCCTGTATGTGGGGTAACATTCACTGCCTAGATGGAGAAGGAACAAGTCTGTTCCCACTCTAGGACTTAACATTTATGAGCCCATGTCCATCAGCTCCAAGAGCAGGAAGGAGTGAGCCCTCTATCACTGGCACCCAAATTCTTAGCCTCCCTCTCCTTTTTCACACTAGCTGTCCAGAGCTCAGATTCCAGCCTAGAAATTTGGTCAAAATGCCATTAAAGTCTCCTCAACCTGGAGACCCTCTTGTGCACCACCCGCTACTTGAAAGTTTTTTGAAAGTCTCCCCGGCGTATCCACTCTGTGGAGCTGCCACAACTCCTGGATTTGGACTGCAGAACCAAGCACAGTCTCTTTCTCCAACTATGTGATATGCCCCATTTTGACTTCCAGCTGGACTGGACAATTTGACGTGAGGAGCTGGTCTGCTGTTTCCGACCTCCCAAGTGCCCAATAATGTGGCCGTTGGTCCAGATGGCAGGCCAATCTGGGGACAAATGATCTTCTCCACCAAACCATAGTATGCTTTTGTGTAAGCACCCAGCCACCCCAGGGGTTTTTCTCTGCCCACTTCTACCCTAATTTCATATTCCAGTTGACTTCTCTGTTGTTGAGCACAGGTGGCTTAAGAGAACCGCCTGGTGTGGTTGATACCTCTGGGGTTAAAATGATATCTGGTCGAGTTCTCAGCTTTGTATGTTCTTAACTTCCTCAAGGGTCATAAGATCACAGCTAATGCACAAGGTCTTGTAAATTAGTAAAACATGACCCCTCTGGGTGGCTGCAACCCCATGTCAGGGGCTCCTTTCCCCCTTATCCTGTGTCCTGGAACCTTCATATGATCAAATCCAAGAGACAATTAAAAAACAAAAACAAAAACAAAAAACCCTAGTTTTCTTCTCTGTCATAAGGAAATTATCTCTTCTGCCCTGCCTTCCCTAGAGAGTAGTAAGGCACAGGCCTTTAAATGGTAAACAGGCCAGCCATGAGGGTGGCTCGGGTGCTTACCAGTCCCCTGGGTGACGCAAGAGGCGAGGTCCTGCAGGCGCTCCTTCAAGTCGTCGAAGCTGTCAGTGCGCACAGCAGCTTGCAGGCCCTGGGGCTCCTCCTGGCGCAGGAGGCGGAGCGCCTCTTGCAGGAAGCCGTGCATGTCCAGCACCTCCTGGTCCGACGCGTAGCGCTTCATCCTCTGCACGAGCACAGTGCCTGTGCGGATGCGCTGCAGCACAGCGTCCAGGTGGCCCAATTGGCCAGCGATCTTCTTGTACTCACATTGGTACCGTGTGTTCACCGCTTCCAGCAGCTCGCTTTCCTGTGCCAGCACGTGTTCTACTAGTTGGCGCACACGTGCACGGATCAGCTCCTCCGTGTCGGTGCGCACGCGCCCCAGCTGGCTGACAGCTGACTGCATGTGAGCCTGCGCCTCGCCAAAGGCGCAGTCCTGCTCCTGCAATGCCTGCGTCATGGTGTCCAGCTCCTCCTGCCGCTGCTGGATCTCCGCGGTGATGTCGCACTTGAGGTCGCTGTGGCCGCTGTCCAGGAGTGCACAAGAGCAGCACAGTGGCTTGGAGCAGCCTCGGCAGTAGATGCTGAGGACATACAATGGGGCAGTCATGCTTTTTTTCCCTGTAAGTTTTTACTAAATTCCTCTTTACAAACATTACAAAACTTTGAATCACGTATGTTTCCAGGTTTGTGCTTTCCCCAATTCAGTGTTTGTGGTTATGGTGATAGTATCCAAACTACCAATAAAACATTAAAATATGAAAATGTGTTACTGAAGTAACAGTGGCTAGCCTCCATCCATGAAACAATGCAGATATTTTTTTAAAAAATCAAGCATCTCTTCCTACCACTTCTGAAGTTCCTTTCCCCACATCAGAGGTACATCCTGGGTACATCCTTCCATACATCTCTCCACTCAAACCACCTTACACAAATATCCAAACTATGGAGCTGCTTGCAGGATTTCTAAAGACTTGATACAGTCATCCACTTCATCCTTGCTAGATCTAGCCTGTTAGAGGAGAATGATATCCTCATTTCACAGATGAAGAAACAGACATTCAGAGGTTTAAAAATTGGTTCAAATAAATGCATCAATTTTGGGGGGTTGATGCTTGTACTTTAAAAAATGAGATCATGCTATTCCATTACTTTGTAACTTCCTCTTCTAATTTAACTTTCATTCAGGATATTGTCCTAGATCTTTTAAGTATAGATCTAATGTATTTTCTTTAATATATATTCCAGATGGACCTGAACTGATTCAGTCATTCTCCTGTTAATAGACATTGCAATGATTTCCTAGTTAGGCATCCCCGCCCCCCTTTTCTTTTTGGTGAAAAAAAAAAAATGTATTCTAGATCAAAGAATGTGTATATTTTTATTTATTTAATAGATTTCAGCTAGCAAATAATTCCATAGCATTTACTATCTATATTTCAGACACTATCATAAACATGACAAATATTAATTCATTTAATCCTCCTAAAATCCTATGGGGGTAGGAAGTATTATGCCCATTTTAAGGATGGGGAAACTGAGCAAGAGGTAAAACAACTTGTCTAAGGTCACACAATTAGTAAGTTTTAAGAGTCTAGATGCAAACTGTAGGAGGCAGAATAATGGCCCCTATCCGCGTACTAGTTCCTGGAACCCGGAACTATGTTAGCTTACACGGCATAAAGAGCTTTTCAGGAGCGATTACACTAAGGATCTTGAGATGGGGAGATCATCCTGTATTATCTGCATGGACCCAATGTGATCACAGAGGCCTTATAAAGGAAAGGGGAGGAGACAAGAGCGTGAAAGAAGGGAGAAATGATCATGGAAGCAGAGGTCAGAGTGATACTATCCTGCTGGCTTTGCAGATGGAATGGGATCATGAACCAAGGAATTCTGGCAGCCTCTAGAAGCTGGAAAATGCAAGAAAATATTTTCTCTACAAGAGCCTTTAGAAAGAAGATAATCCTGTTGACATCTTGATTTTTATTTCAGTGGAACCCAATTCAGACTTCTGATCTCCAGAGCTACATAATAATACATTTGTATTGTTTTAAGCCCTTAAATTTGTGGTAATTTGTTACAGCAGCAATAGCAAACTGATATAAAAACACAGGCAGTCTTGCCCTGGTCAGTTTGGTTCAGCAGCTGGAGCATAGGCCCTCAGACCAAAGGGTTGCAGGCTCATTCCTAGTTAAGGGCACATTCTTGGGTTGCAGGTTTGATCCCCGGCCCCAACTGGGGCTATGCAGGAAGCAGCCAATCAATATGTCTCTCTTACATCGATGTTAAATCAAGGAAAAATATCCTCGGGTGCTCGAGTGATTAACAAACAAAAATTAAAACTATAGGCAGTCTGGCTCAGAGCCCATGCTCTTAATCATTGCAATGTTGCTTCATTTATTACTAGGAAAAATAATGTTAGTTACTTTCCCAAAAACAGTTACTCTCACCAGCAATGATAATACATCAGCCCACCTAAGGCCAGGAGAAAGGCTCTTTGGGCTATTTTGGCCTCAATTACTTACTGAGATTAACTTGTCCTGGAACTGCCAACAGAGAGCCTGATAGCCAACCTGACTAAAAAATTAGGGCACTGGTCCTCACCTTTGCTGACTCTCAACCTTCCCAAGTCACCCAAGAAGGTAAGGTATCAAGGCTTGATCCTCCTGAGCAAACAGAAGACTAATTCCAGGCTAGCAGAGATTTTCCGGAGAGTCCAGAGTTGGAAAAGGGACTGGGGGTTGCCACTGGGTCATGAGCATTCAGCTACTCCAAGCTTGGGACATCTGATCTAAGTAACAGAGACCCATCACCTAGAGACAGGGCCATAAATGAGGTAAGTGGCAGCTGGAACAGAGAAAAGAGCCTGGCAGATGTGGATCTGACCTCAGCTCTGTGCCCTTGGCAGGTCACTTAACCTCTATGCACCTCAGTTTTCTTATCTGTGAAAGTGGGATCATTTCCACAACATATGGGAGTGCTGCAGAGGATCACATCAGAGAAGTCCTATATAAATGTTCTTAACAAAGACAATTATTATTATAATTGAATGAAATATTAGTGTTCATCAATGTCACTATTAATGAGAAATACTAAGCAATTATGAAAAGAATTAATAACTACAACAGAAAGCAATTAGGCAATATCCATCAAAATCACAAATGTATTTATCCTTTGACCCAGAAATCCCCCTTTTAGATATCTATCCTGCAGCTCTAGCTCCAGGAAATGACATCTGTACAATCCAACACAGCCCATAACAGCAAAATATAGAAACAACTTAAGTGTCTATCACTAGGTAATGAATTATATCAATTAAGATGCACCCATACAGTGGAATATTATGAAGCTTTTTTTCCCCACTGACCCCCTCCTTCCCAATTCCACCCCCCTCCTGTCTTCCCTACACTATTGTCAGTGTCCATTGGTTATGCATATATGCATAGAAGTTATTTAGTTTATCTCATCTGGCCCTCCCTCCCCCCTTCCCTTTCAGGTTCATCAGTCTAACAACCAATTTGTACTTCTTAATTCCTTCATCTTTTTCACCCATCCCTCCAGCCCCCACCCATCTGGCAAGCAACAAAATGTTCTCTGTATTTACGAGTCTCTTTCTGTTCTGCTTGCTCATTTTCTTTGTAGATTCAATTGTTGATAGATATGTATTAATTGCCATTTTATTGTTCATATTTTTGTTCTTCTCCTTCAAGAAGACCCTTCAACATTTCATATAATACTGGTTTGGTGGTGATGAACTCTAGCTTTTTCTTGTCTGGAAAACTCTTGATCTGTCCATCATTTTTAAATGATAGCTTTGCAGGATAGAGTAATCTTGGTTGTAGGTCGTTGCTTTTCATCACCTTGAATATCTCTTGCCACTCCTTTCTGGCCTGCAAAGTTTCTTTGGAGAAATCAGCTGACAGTCTTATGGGAGCTCCTCTGTAGGTAATGAAATGCTTTTCTCTTGCTGCTTTTAAGATTCTCTCTTTGTATTTAACCTTTGGCATTTTGAGGATGATGTGTCTTGGTGTGGACCTCTTCGGGTTCATCTTGTTTGGGATTCTCTGTGCTTCCTGGACTTGTGTGTCTTTTCCTTCGCCAAATTAGGAAAGTTTTCTGTCATTATTATTTCAAATAGGTTTTCAAATTCTTGTTCTCTCTCTTCTCCTTCTGGCACCCCTATGATGCAAATGTTGGTATGCTTGAAGTTGTCCCAGAGGCTCCTTACACTCATTTTTTTGGAATCTTTTTCTTTTTGCTGTTCTGATTGAGTGTTTTTTTGCTTTCTTATATTCCAAATCAATGGTTTGCTTCTTGGTTTTATCTACTCCACTATTGATTCCCTGTAAATTATTCTTTATTTCAGTTAGTGCATCCTTCATTTCTGACTGGTCCTTTTTTATGTTGTTGATGTTCTCACTAAGTTCTTTGGAGGTCTCCTTAAGTTCCTTGAAGGTCTCACTAAGTTCCTTGAATGTGTCACTAAGTTCCTTGAGCAACCTTATAACCAGTGTTTTGTTTTGTTTTTTTCTTTGGGGAAGGAGAAGAGAGTGGGGGAGATGAGGGGTGTGTTTTGAACTCTGCATCTGATTGATTTCTTATCTCTGTTTAGTTCTTTTCCTGGAGTTTTGTTCTTTTCTTTCATTTGGGACATGTTTCTTTGTCTCCTCATTTTGGCTGCTTTCCTGTGATTGTTTCTATGTATTAGGTAGAGTTGCTATATCTCCTAGGCTTCCTAGGGTGGCCTATTGTTGTAGGTGTCCTGTAGGATCCAGTGGCACAGCTTCCCTGATCACCCCAGCTGGGCTCTCAAGGTGCACCCCTAGTGTGGACTGTATACCTTTCTGTTGTAATTGAGTCTTGATTGCTGTTGGCACATCAACGGGAGGAATCTACTCAGGTTGATCAGCTGCAAGGACTGGCTGTGCCCACTGACCACTAGCCTCTGACTACCTTGGAGGATCAGCTGTGTATAGGGGCCCAACACACAGAGCAAAAGTTACTTCATCAGGACTCTGGTTCCCACTGAATCCACTCATTGAGCATGTCACTTGTGGAAGTGGTTGGGTGGTGGTGCTTTGACGTGGTCTGAAGGTGTCTACTGGGTGTGCTGGCTCTGGAGCAAGGTCAGCCACTGCCTGTGTTCTACCCAGGGCCACCAGGCATAAGCTACAAAGCGATCTGCCGATGGCTGCTTCTTTTTTTTTTTTTTTGTCCACTGAGGCATTTTATTTGCACATGTGTATTACATCCCTAAAAAAAGAATCCCAGGACTTTCCCTCCTGTGTGTTTTCGTCTTGCTTCTTCATGGTCCATGAAGCCTGCTGAAGTTGTCAGTACAATGAAACCAAACTGACGGGATGGAAGCAGGTTGTTCTGCCATTTTTCTAGATCTTTGAGTTGCACATCAAATCTGGGGCTGATTACTCCACACTTGTTCAATCGGCCTATGAGGTTCACAACAATTTTCCCAGCTCTGTGGTCATCAATAATTTCAAATTCGCCAATGTAACCATGCTTCATCATCACAGTTAGAAACCAGATGATGACTTTGGAGCACGGCCTAATAAGAACCTGGCGT